ACGGAAAAATGGTGATCAAATTCCAAAAAAATGAAAAAAATTATCAAAAAAATTTTTTTAAAAAAACTGTTTTTTTCAACAAGTCATATTCTTTTTAAAAAATGTTTCATTAAAAAAAGTCGCAAAAAACCGAATTCAAAAAAATCTTTCTGAACCCAAAAACCGATCCCTCAAAAATCAAACCAACAAAAAATAATTCAAATCTTCAAAGCTTCAAATCGCCAAAATTGATCCTCAAAACTTGGAATATCTGAGATGGAAGCTCGAAATCGCGAAAAAGAGCACGCCCATAAACACACACAGAGAGAAAGATGGACGTGCGGTGCGACAAAGCTGGAATTTAAACAAATCGGTATAAATATGGTGGGGGGGATCAATTGAAGTGTTTGTCCCTCGAAAAACGTCCGTGATCCACTCAAAAAGTGATGCTGCCAGCCGCGCTGTACAGTCATTCGTCCATGACTCTTACCGTTTGGATAAATAGGTCCAAAGATGGGTGAGAATGGCTCCAAACAACAGAAAAGGAAACTTTTGAGCAGCCTGTTGGATTTTTGATGGAACTTTGTTGACTGATGTTTTACAGGGGAGGTTTTTTCTTTGTAATCATGATTTTCGTAAATTTGTTCAGGAAACTCCTTGTTGAACCTGATGAAGCTCCTGAAAATCTCAATCTTCTAAACTGCATGAATTTATAAAAATGAGGACTAAGAGTCCCAAATAGGCGATTTTAACAAATTTTGAGGAGCTTCTTCGATTCAGAGCCCTGACTTCTATCCCAAAAAAACTCAAAAATTTTCCTTATCATTTTTTTTTAAACTCTCAACTACGCAGGTTTCACGAAAATTCAAGTTTTCAAAACTCAAAAATCAGTCCAAAATGTTTTGAAAGCTTCTCTAAATCAAATTTGAGTCTTTTCACGGCTTTGAATCAAAAAAAGGCGACGAAATTCAGTAAAGATAGAATTTTTTATGGCAAACAGCTTTTTTTAAATTTTATAATTCAAAATTTTTTTTTTTTTCAAGCAAAAAAAATAGTGGATTCTATAGAGGTGGTTTAAGTGGTCACTTTAGTGTCCTTTCCGAGTTTTCCTTGAGGAACCTCTTAAGTGGCCACTAAAGTTCCGAAGAATTAATTCATTTCAAAAAAAAATTGTTAGAATGCTTTTTTTGAAGCCAAAAACAATCTAGAAACAAATTTAAAAATCGGTTGAACCATCAAAAACTTTTTTAAGAGATTAAAAAATATCTAAAAAATATCTAACCAAAGAGGATCGAAAATACCTAGAGGATTTTCTAAAAGATGAAAAATATCTAAAGACTTCTCAAGACCACCAAAACTCTTTCCTAGACGAAAATTATGAGCGTCAGAGTCCATTTCGGGAAGACAACACGGCGAAAAAAGTTGTATGACTAACCAACATAAATGTTTATCACCTCCGGCGAAGAGCAATGAATTCGCGAGGAAAAAAGAGTGGAGATGGTCCGTTTTATGGTCGGTGGAACGCCGGGGCTTGTACTAGCACAACTTTTTTTTCACGCTTGAGGAACGCCGTCGTTGAAGGGGAAGAAGAAGACGCGTAAATGGCCGAGGATAAATTACAGCAATTTCCGAGGGGACCCCAAAAAATAGTGCGGATTAACGGTTCAATGAAATGTGAGCTAGTGTGGAGATTTATCCGGAAAAAAGTCTCGAATGAGAAAATGTGTAGTCCCATCGGAAACATTTCCAAGGTATCGAAAAGGGATGTTTAAAAATATCTTTATTTTAGTGATTAATAAAAATTTAATGCAAAACTTAAAATTTATGTCCTTTTCAAATCAAGAGCGAAGAGTGTGAAATTGCCAAACTTCAAAAAAACAGACCGGAAATCTCTTCATTTATGGAATTAGCTAGATTACTTTTTTTCAGAATGAAATTATAAAAATGATCTTATTTTTTTGGTTAATGATCGTGAATAGAAGCGCGAAGATCCTGAGAGATATTTCAGAATGAAAAAAACAGAAATCACCCCTGAAATCAAAAATGTATGGGATACAAGCTCAACTTCCCTTGAATAAAAAAAATAAGAATTTAAATTGAATAAAATGAAAATTTGTCAGAAATATTTGTTTTTCAAGATTATTTCCATTCGAATATATCCCCAAGAAAAAGGCCGAAACCTTCTCAAGTCTCATTTTTGCACAAAAAATATTTAACTCTGCGAGAAGCTTCTGAACTTCAAAATCTCAAAAGAAAAATTGAACTTCGTATCGTTTTGGAAAGATATTCTGAACATAAAATCATCAAAGTTAGCATCTATTCGGCAAAAATGGGATCGACTTTGCGCTTTTAAACTTCGAAATCTCAGAACCTTAAAATCAGTCTCAAGTCTGTGAAAAGCTTCGAAACTTCGAAATAACTGTGCTTTTGCCTGACAGGAAGCCCAACGCAGGTGTTTCACCCACAGCTGTGCAAATCGTAACCGGCAGATGAGGCCCACCGGTCATAACTCCGATTTTATTCGTTATTCGACCAGAGCCATTGTTTTGGGACGATTTGCTCGCTGTCTCTCGTCCCGTGGCTTGGGCCGCTCCGAATTGCGTAACCCGGCGCCAGTGGTGACCTTAGACCAGACAAAAAATGGCGCGCGTGGGCCCATCTATGGGTACTAATCGATAATGTCTATACCAACATCCCGATCCAAAGCCCTTTTTTGGCTTGATGATGGCCGAATTGGACCTTGTGCAAACACAGGGAAAAAAGAGGTGTTTTCAATGGTAATGATTCGGGAATTTTTAGAAAAGGAAAGTTCTTGAAAAATTCAAAATATGAAATTTTTTTCGATACAGTATGTAGACAATTTTGTATGAAAAACATGGTAAATAGAAAAAAAAAATCAGTTGCCTTGATTTGAATTTTTGCCAGCGTTCTTATATTTTAAAAACCTTCAATTTGCTCTTTTACTTACTTTTTTCAAGGTTCCGGTCACTTTTAAGGTCAAATTTTTTTTTGAAAAAACTCAAAAATTGACTTTTCAGCTCCTTTTTGTAGTTTAGTGGTTCACAAAAAGGTTCAAAAAAGTTCAAATTTTTTAAAAAATTTCTAAGATCATTCAGCTTCTAAGTTTTTCCAAGCTTCTAGATGGAATAAGTCAAGAACGAACTTCATAAAAACTTCAAAAAAATTGACCAAAACGCTCAAAAAACTATCATTCGACGTCTTCCAATATTTTGAGAAAGAAAGGAACCAATCGTATAGATTCAGTTGTGAGTAATATGGAGTGAAACGTCGTCACGCAAGTTGTAGCCCCATAAAAAATGCATCAAAGTTCCGCTAGAAACCCCAAAAAAAAGACTTGAGCTGGAAACGGGGAAAAGTTGGTTTTTCGGGAAAAGAAGCTGGAAAATACGATATGTGGACAATGCGGCCGGTAGGACAAGTGTCCATCTATTCATCCATCGTCGCGGCAAACATTCAAATTTGGCGCTTCTTTCAAGTTTTTTTTCCCTTGCTATTTATTTTCATGCTCAACAATCTTGCGCGAAAAAATATTTTTTGAAGCTTTCTGGGGTCCATTTTGTTGAATGAGAGGTCAAAGAACATGAATAATGAGATTGTGGACTTTGGACAAAATTAATAAGGGTCTTGAAGCGAAAAGCTGTTTTCAGTGTTTTCTAGGCTTCTGCGCCTCTAAAAAATATTCCTTTTCTGGATTATTTTCGAAAAAAATTTTTTTAGAAGCTCTAGAGTGGCCCCTATAGGGGTTAAGAAGAAAAAAAACAGCCCTTATGGGGGGAGGGAGAATCTGGTGGTCCCTATGGAAGTTTAGGATGTGATTCCTTAGCCCCTGAGGCTTAAGTGGTCCCTAAAGGGGTAATTCACCTTTTTTTCCAGTGATACTGAATTTATTCCAATCGATCCTTCCAAGAAGTTTACATAAAGAAATCAATTAAAACAATTAAAACAATGAATTCCAAACTTGGTGGTTAATGAGTTGTTGAAAAGGCGGCACGAGGACTTTTTGAGGTCGCTGACATTTGTATGACAAGATGAACGACAGATTCGCCAGATTGATTAGATCTGGAGGCCGTCCGCGAACTCCTTGCCCTCTATGATCATTTCTCATACCGACAGTGGCAATGGGATCACTTTTTTTGAGGATTTCGAGTCCGATTTCATCTCCGGTTATTTTTTTTGCCTAGTGTTATCTTTGCAACTAGTGGAAAAATTGAAAAAGGAATAAATCCATGATCAGAACGATCAGTCAAGTTATAATTCTTATCTGAGAAAATCCAAATAAACCGCCAAGCCCCAATTAAAAATTCAAACAGAAATAGAAAAAAATTGTAAAAACCCAAACAAAGTTATCTTTTTTTAGTAGTAGCTTTAAAAAAACCGGCGAAAAATGAATAAATTCAAGAAAAAAATATGTTTTTTTGTGAGCTTAAATGTAGCTTTGCTCAGCTGAAAACACATAGTCTAATCAAATTTTGAGTAAAAACTCATAAATACATTGAATTTAGTTCAATGATAACTTCAGAAAGCCCTAAAAAGTGTAAAAATGGGAATTTTCAATAAAAATAGAGAAAAAAAAATAGTGAAAAAAAGTCCAAAACAAGTAAGCTTCAAAAAAAAAAAATAAAATGATTAAGAAAAAGCAAGTAATCTAAAGAAAAATAAGTGCAAGAGTGACAAGGAAAAAGTCTAAAAAGCCCCAAATGTTGCTATTCTGACTATATCAGAGTAACAAAGACATTGTCGAAATTGGTTTTCAGAAAAATCGAATAAAAATTAAAAATTATAGAGGAAAAAGCAAGTAAGCTCGGACGATAAGTGTGGCAAGGAAAAGTCGTCTAAAATTTAAAAGCTTACTTCCATTTTCATTTCGAAACACCTGAAAAAGATCGTGATAAAATCGAAACGAAAAAAAAATGAATAAAAAGTCGAAAAGAAGTAAGCTTAAGTGCAAGTGTGGCAAGGAGAAGCAGGTCGAAACCATAAATAATCTTAGGCAAAGCGAATTAAGACGACGCATTAAAGAGCGTGTGGCCGGCGTGGTCCGCAACCACTTTGGGTGGAAGGCAAGGAAGGATTGGAGCCGACGCATGTGCTCTTGCAACGGGGCGTGCAGGGGGAGGACGAGGGGGAGGGTGCGCGGCAATGTCCGAAAGAAGCGGCCGAGGGGGGCGGGGCCAGGCCTCCATCAGGAATTCAACCCGATGACCGCAACAACCCACCGTCATTGTCCCAAGATGGGAGAAGTTTGTGTCTCTCCAGGGACTCAATTAACCATATCTATGTAGGCTTAGCTTCGATTGTGAAGTGTCCAGCTTCAAGTGAAATAATGGTCTTTTCCAAAAATGACTTTTTTGAGACCTTGTCTTAAGTTTTTTATATATAGTTCCATCCGAAAAATACAAAAAAACGGATTTTCGATCTCAAATTCCTTGTATGGAGTTTAATCTTTCTGGATCTTTCTGGAGCTGTGATGACTGTTATTTGTAACACTCTGCTGGAATCCGCAGAAAAAAAGTAGGTCAAAACGTTTCAGAAAGATTTAGCTCCAAACAAGGATATTTTGAGCAAAAAAATGTTTTCGTATTTTTTCTGGCGGTACGGTAACTTCAAGTATATAAAATAAAATATTCAGAGCTCCATTTTTTTTTTCCTTTTTTTGTTGATAAACTGACCCTATTTCAATTCTTTATAAGACTTCAAATAAAAATATATAAAAGGACCAGGTTAAAGTTTACAGTGGAAAGTCTTATTTTCCAAAAATGACCTTTTTCCTCCAGCTAGTAAACTGGCCATATCCTTAAAAGGGTTTTTTTGTAGCTTCAAATAAAGTATTTTTATTTCTTTTTTTAAGGTGGTTATAGATTTTTGAAGATTTTTTTTTATGGAAACTGGAATCCTTAGAAAGTTTCTTTTACTGATCTTCGATATTCTTTAAAAAAATAATCTTAAACTACAAAAAAACTTTTGGAAACGTTCCGACAAGGACCATCAAAAAAATAGTGGAAACAGATCATTTTCGACTTTTTTTAAAAAAACCGGGAAGTTATGCAAGTTGAAAAATTCCGTAGGATACCGTGAAAAATTACCTAAAAAGATTTCGTGAATAACTATTAATTTTAGTAAAGAAATGAAAAAAACTAAAAAAATAATACTGTGTTAAAAAAATGATTCCGCGAATTCAAAATAGCCGTCAGAGATGAAAAAGATAACTTAACTTTGGATGTTCAGAGATAACTTTGAATTTCGCGAGGTTATTTTGAAAATGGCATGGGATTTCTTATAGTGAACGCAGACAAGGTGCAAAAAAATTTCAACACAAAAAAAGGAAAAGAAGAAGAAGTCTTCCGTGTTTACAGCCGTGCGATAATGTAGCGCAAATAATCAGCGATTTTAACGCCATCGAGGCGCCTTTTTTGAAAAACGCACCTGTTTTGATAAGAAAAAAAATGGAGGATCGTAGGTTGACACCTTTTTGATTTTCGTGTCAAAATGAGGGAAAACCAACTAAAAAGTCAACCGAAATATCAGCTTTTTTAACCTACATTGAAAATGCAGTACGAAAATTGAGCGCTACTGTTCAATCTGTAAAAATGACGCTAACTAAACAGGAAAGTCATGAACTAAAGCTTTTATGAAAATTTGGCTTGATTCAAACTTTAATTGAAGCATAGAAACAACTCAGGACGCCGAATCGGTCTCCTGAGATTTCAAGGAGAAAACAGCCCCTATAGGGGTGAAAATAGAGCTTTAGTGCCCCCTAAACAAGTCCCTAGAGGGTACCCTTCAACGACCTCTAAGGTAGCCCCTCTAGGGACCTCTCTAGCGTTCCTAATGATACATGAAGCTTATGTCGGATTCGACTTCTATTATAAGGACAAAATTCTAATTATATACGAAATCCGATCAATATTAGTATCTGCTCAACAAGAGAAATAAATTGTCATTGAAACCTACGTCGTCCATTTTTGAGACTGCGTGATATATAATTTCTTTTTACTCGTTCTTTACTTCTTTTCTCAATTTTTTCCACAAATATAACTAACGATTTGTCTCAAATAAATACAAATAATTTATTTCCGTTCAAAAAAAGTTATCCATATGCATTATTTTCAGCTGCTCAACAAGAAAAATAAATTGAAAAGAGGAAAAATTAAAAAAAAGCCTTACAAAGCTATTTGAATCATTTTTTGGCTTCAATGTCCACTATACAATAATCTTCAACTTTATTTTGCCATTAGTATACTTATGGAGCCTCCGAAAAAAGTTGAAACTTTGATTTTGAAACTCGATAAAGTCTAAAATAAGACCTTTTGAGGCGAGCTCGAAAAGATGCTCAAAAAATAAGATATCATCTTGAAGTGTTCCGAAATTGCAAATTTTAGTTTTTTTAAAAAAAGGAAAAAAAGCTAATTATGGTTTGAAAACAAATGTTTGAACTTCGAAAAAAAAAGAATTTTTTTTTGGCTTTAATAACGCACCAAATAGCCCTTAGTGCACGATATTTCACTGGTAAAAAAATTAGATAATATATTAAACCTTGATAACACCTAGATGATACCTAACTCCGAGCGGATTGAAAGAAGTTCGAAAAAAGATAATATCTTCGAAATATTCAATAATTGCACTTTTCCTAGCTTTTAAATCAAAGGAAAAGCTCAAACTTTGATCAATTCTAGATTGAAAAAAATTCTGACAGAAAAAAAAATGTCCTCTAAAAAATACGGTAACTATTTTTGTTCCAAGAACTCACCAAAAAAAAAGATATCAGTGCTGAAAAAAGATTAGACGTTGGGCGGAAGAAGATAAAGGGTACGAAAAACCGCAAGGTCACACCTTTGTTGCCAACGAACCAATTCATTCTCCAAAATCACATTCGCAGGCAGCAAAAACCTCGCGTCGCACACACGTTGAACCAACGAAATTACTTTACTCCTCCAAAGAGAGAAAATCCCTTTACATACATGAAAGTCGCGCCGACGTACAAGCTACCAGTCGCTAATTTCACTCGGCTAACCTTGATTGGCTGCTTTTTTGGCCCCATCACAACAAACCTTCAAGTGACTTGTTATGGTTGTACAGAAAAAATTGAAAACAGCCTTTTTTCCAGAAGAAAAAGTAATAGACAACATTTTTCTACATCGTCAAACTTTTTGCGGAAAAATTTGATTATTCCGACAACTGGTTCCAAATTAGTTTGAAAGCAGCATTAAAACATTAAATATCAAATGTATAATCGTTTTATCGTTTCAGAAATTATGTACATCCTTGATTTTTAGGCGTTTAATTTTTTTACGAACGATTAAAACAAAAATTAACTAACCTTTTTTGGCTTTTGCCTAGCTCCAAGTCGCCAAATGTAGATTCTTTACGTCCGCATTGAAATTTTTGAAATTACTTTGAACAAATTAAGAAGAAAAATCTTGAAAAAGCCGAAAAAAAGCGAAAAAAAAAAATTGAATTTCAGGTTTTTTTTTTCGTGCGCGCACCACTTAGGAACAGCGGAAGAATCTCGAAATACAGTAAACCAAAAAAAGTTCGAATGTTTTTGACCAGGTAGCAATTTTGTACAGCTCACGGCGTTCTTTTGACGACGCCCCTCCCACAATTTCCGTAATATTTGACGTCTTTTGTGCATACACAGAACGACGCTAACTCGCATACTCATTAAATTCAAAAATAATTTTTTTCCTCGAAAAATAGCGTTTTTTCAAAACTATAGACGTGGAAAAAATCGATCCTTTCACAATTCCTTTTCTAGTTGACAAAAAAACATTTGGGTGAAAGTTTTTCTTATTTTCTGAACACTTTCATACCTTTCACCCTCAAAATTGGTTGAAGTCCTTTTTTTTGAGTGAAAAACGTGGAGTTTTGTGCCGAAAATGACTTATTGTGGTTCTATGTGTCTTTCCCGACTTATTGAAAATTTAAAAAAAGTTTTCTTTTACAGATTTAGTTTAGTTCATCCACCTAGTGGTATTTTTTTTCTCCTCTGCAACATCGACATACCATTCTGATGTTGCGAAAATGAAGAGATTGATTGATTCAAATAAAAAAATTTAGTTTTGACACTGAGAATGTTGCTGAAAGGCTTTTTTTGCTTTAAAGGGAGAATTTGGTCAAAAACACAGCAGTTAATATTGAAAAATTGAAAAAAAGTTCCTTCGCATTTTGCTGTCGCAATAAAAAAACAATTACCGTAAATCAGTACAAAAACAGATAAAGATACAGCTGAAATAAACATGAAAAAAATCACGTGAAGCACTTGAGCAACAAGAAATTCAAATGTTCGCGCGCAAGCTGTCTACCGTAAATCTAGGTGGAGCAACCCTTCCAAGCCGCTCCACATTTTCAAAAATTTTACATTTTCTTCCACTGCGCAGAACGCCGTGAGCTGTGCTCATGTCTTATCTGAACGTTCTCAAAACAAACTCCCTCAGACGAAGCGAAAATAACTTTTGGCTAAAAAGCCCGTCTGGCGATAAAATATCGCGAGCACTTTGGAACGAGGAGCGCATTTTGAGACCTCAAAAGCTCGTTCATCAGTCATGATGAGCCTGATGGCTTAACCTCCGGGATTAAATTCAGCTGAAAGTGACTTACTCCGTCGAATCGTTGGTGTTCTACATAACAGAAAGAAGAAACAAAAAGCTTGAAAAGGGAGGTTTTAGGTAAATGAAGGAGGGAAAGGCGAAGCGAATCTCCGTAATGTGGTGTTTGCATTATTGAGATCACAATCGAATCTGAAACACAAAGCAATTGGACATGCTCCTGTTTGTATAACTATAGATACACGGCGGACGGCGAACGCGTTTCGCAGCTTCTCGAGTTTCAACATCGCCTGAGTCCTTCTTGAGGGGCAAATCGGAGACCCCTGTGTATCGTTATCAAAGTGGCGAGTGGACAGGAGTACTCAGAGAACGAGGCGGTTCGGTTCCAAAACGATCGTGTGAGATTCCGCCCTTTACAAATGGTCGCCTGAAAATTTGAACTTTGCCTCATGGTCTCGTCTTCGCCTTCAAATCGAAAATTTTTATCATTTTCCCTACTCAATCGATCCAAAAACAGTTTTTATTCCGTTGATCGTATGTTTTTGACTCTCCAAATTTTGTTTGTCTTCAATTCAACAACAAACAGGCTGTTTCTTGTCTTTTATACTCCTCCTGCAATTTTTATAGTTTATACGAAATTGATTTTTTAAATCAGTGTCGAGTGAATGAAACCGCTTTTCAATGAATTTGCAGGAAATAAAATAATTTTGTAGTTCTTATCTTTTTTCGATTTCGAAAACTTGAATAAAAAAGTGAAAACTGAGTTGCAGAAGAAATGAAAAAATTTCAGTCAAATTTCAAAACTCCCGCGCCGCGAAGCCTGACTTTACTGCGCACACTTTGCTCCATGGGCAAACTTTTTTTTGCTCGCGATTTTCTCACAAAAACAAAAATGTTTTGCGATTTCGAGGCAATTTTGATTCATTACGTGTACAACTAGAGTGTTGGTGCACTAGGAAACTTTGACAAAACGTCGATTTTGCGTGCGGCGAAGGCCGTTTTCCGTTCACGGTCGCACATCCTATCACATCGACCAGAAGTTTTTATCTGGGTCACCGAAATAAGTGTTTCCACTTTCTTTACTTTGTATTTTAGTACATTTATCGCGTTTGCCTTATCGTTGTCCCCCTCAATTACGACTTTCGCCTGATATGCCGCTTTTTTCGTTTGTTCTTTCATCACGTCTGGAATTTCATTTGGAACTTTAAGGTTTTTAAATGGGCGTTGTTGCCGCGTTGGCCGACGCGCTTAATGCCAGGGAAGACGGTTTGAAGTTGCTTCTTTCCGTTTTAGCAGGTAATAAGACTATAAATTTACTTTTTAAGAGAGGTAAATTGTTTAAGGATATCCGTTGGCCGTGATTCATAGGACATTTTTGTATAATAAGCCGAAAAATGTGCAACACGCGTTTTTTGTTGCAATTGGGCTTCTTCTCTACGTTTGGAATTATGGTTTGTTCAAGTATCTTTTTTTCAGTTATTAAAGGTTCATTAGTCTGATTTAAGTCGAAAAGCTGGTTTCAGTGTTATTCTTGTTCATTTGCAGTTTAAAAACCTCAGGAAATGTTTTAAAAAGTTATTAGAAAAGAATAAAAGTAAGAACTTATTGAAATTCAGGAATGGCCGTGGTTCACAGCTTGATCTCAATACTCGCCGCGTTCATAATAACGAATTTCCTTCCGGGAACTCAAGCATCAATCATTCTAGCGCACACTTGCTTCTTAGTAAGTACATAACTTTGCTAGTAAGATTTTACCGATTGGGAGCTTTGGATTGAAGCAAATTTCGAATTTTTTTTTGTTTCCAGTGCAAATTTTATACAGACACGTCAGAAAGGAACTTTGAAAATGTTTTGAATTTTGGGAAGAATAATTCGTAAATTTTTATTATATATTTTGACAAACTTTAACTGTTTTTCTTTACTCGATTTGGAGCAAGTTATGAGTTTTAATCTTTAGAAACATTTATTTGTCATTTTTTTGACTTTTAAATAATCTTTATTCAAAGGTTCTATCGATTCTAATGATTTTTGAGCAGAATAATTGAACTTCAACCTCCAAAATGGTACATGAAACAGCTCGATTCATTTAGTTTCAGGGAAATTAAATTTCTGAAAATTGGCTACATCACTTTTTGATGTATCAGATGAAGATTCTGAAAATCAAAAACCCGCCAAAAATCTTTTAGTTTTTTTGAGAGATAAGGTCAAAGAAAACCATGAAAATTCTAATAAAATGGGATATTTTTGGCTATTTCGAGCCCTTATTTCTCGACAATTTTGAAGGTTGAAACTTTCAGAAAATTCTTATGGTACGTCAGAAAGTATTCTTGAATATTTTCATGTAAATCCAGACCTTGAAATAAAATGACCTTCCTTGTAAATCAGGCATATGTTTTCTATGGTCTTCTAGAAACTCCTAATAGTTTGGTTTACCTGAAAAAAACAATAGAAACCTGAAAAATAGTATATTCAATCACAGGAGAGTTGAAATTTCGAAGCCTTTCCCTTGCCGCCTAAATTTAAAATCAAAACGAAAAAGTGACTACTTTAGGGACACCTTCTGGTCGGTTACTGGTACATGGAGACGGACGGCTACGACATAACGTGGACGACGCCGTTCTGCATCATGACGCTGCGGTTCATCGGCCTGGTGATGGATGTTTATGACGGCGTCCATCATGTTCGTCCTTTTTGTCACTTCTTTCGCGCCCAACAACATCTTCTTTTTGTTTTGTTTTGACAGTGAATCATCTTTAGGCGAAGCTGCGCGATGACCAGAAGGAGACCGCCATCCGCGACGCTCCCGGTCTTTTGGAGGTTTGGAGGGATCGTTAAGTGTTTCTTGGAAAAAAGCGGAGTAAAATGCACATACGTAACGGTTCGGAAGGAAATTTTTGAGGCAATCGTCAGTTTTCATCTTGGAAAAAGACTCAAGAAGGGGTAAAATAAATTACGATATTTTCTTTGAAGGCGATTTTTGAGGGAACCTCAAAGTTTTTTTCCTTAGAAAAGAAAAACGTTTGAAAAAAAAAAGTAAGGTCTCGTTTTGAAAATGAATTTTTAGAGCGAGTTTCGAAGTTTTTTTCTATCCATCCCCATAAAAATTCGTTTCTCACAGGCTGTTGTCCTATTGAAAAAAAGTTTCGTTTCAAGTTTTTTTACCAAGATTAGTTTGATTTTATTAATTTAGACGAAAAGCTTTTCGAAATCAAAAGAAAAACTTATAAACTCGAAGAGAAGGGCTATGGGAAAAGAAATATTACCTAAGTTCGAAATGTCATGAAAAAAAGGGTCAGAAAATATTTTAATAATAAAAAAGCGTTTTTTTTTTGATTTTGAATCGATTTTCAGTGTCGTAGGTGGAAATTACTGGTTCTATCAAAATCAACAAAATGGCCAAAAATTTAAAGAAGTTATATTTTTTTCGTCTTCAAAAAGTCTTGTGGTAGGCCAAAAATTAAAAAAAGCTTTTTTTACTTGTTCATAAAAATAATGCGGCTTAGCTTCTCTCGAGTTAACCCTAAATTTGAAGATTGCCGCTTTCGGGTACTTTTTCGCCGGGACTTTGGTCGGACCGCAGTTCAGCTTTTCCCGTTTCCGATCTTTTGTCAACGGGGAATATCTTCATGAAGGACAGCCTCGTCAGAGCGCGTAAGAGTCGATATTTACCTAACTTTGAGAAAAATACCGAAAGAAAAGCGATATCGCTAGCGATACAGTAGAGAACTTGCAAATTTTGTCGCGCATTTTTCTAACTAGGAACGTTTTTGCGTAATTTGCGGATCTTAAAAAGTTCCGTAATAAGGGCGATAACCTACCTAGCATTTTAGAAACCTTCAAAAATTTTTTTGAGTGCGGGAGAAAGGCGATGTCGCGAGGTAAGAGCGACATGTTAGTGAATTCGTCAATTTACCGCGATATCACATTTCGCTTCCAGGATTACCTGTATTATCAGTATAGAAAAAGATGAAGCTATAAACCTTGAAAGAAACAGTGAATTAACGTTTCCCTCGCAGTTTGATGCCGTCGATTGGAAGATTCTTGGCCGGCTGCACCTACATGGTCCTCAATCAGTGGGGCAACGTCTGGATCCCCGATTCCTTTTTCAATTCTCAGCAGTTCTTCGTGAGTTTCCTGTTATTGACTGAATGAATTAGGGAAAAATAGAGGGATTTATAAATTAATAAATTCTGAGTTTTCATCATGATCAGTTTATTTATGCAATAAATAAAATAAAATATTCTCTGAGGGCCATCAGATCTCTTATGAGGAAAGTCGAATAAGAAAAATAGAAACAAGAAAAAAATTTTTCTATGTATATTCAAATGAAGAGCTTAGAAATTAAAAAAAGCTAAATTTTAAGAATAATAAACTTTTTGAAATTTCTTTTTGAAAAAGGATGAATAACAAGATTGAACGATGAAGAAATAAATTCCGTTAAAAAGCTCCAGTGAAAGCGTAAATTGATGAATAACCCAGATAATGTTTCTTTTTGAAAAAAACCTTTTGTCGCCATTTTCAGACTTCACGTCATAAGTTAACACTGAATTCAGTTGATTTAGTTGGAAATAATCAATTTTGAAACTTGAAAACTCCAAACATCATAAAAAAAGCGATTTAAAAAAACAGTTAATATGAGTTTTCTAATGTTTCAGTCACATAACCTGGGTAGAAAGGCCATTTTTATGCATTTCAATTTATTTCTGGCAAAAAAATTTTTCGAAGCTTTTATTTTTTTGATTTTCAAGAGGTCAGAAGGGATAATTTGTTAATTTTAACTTGTCGTTACAACTCATTTTTTTAGAAAGTTCAAAATGGAAAAAACTCGCCCCTGTCGTAGCACCAGTGCAAAAACGATTTATCTCCTTTTCAAGCCTCAGCAAATGAGAAATATAAGATTCCCGTTTCAATTTTTGAATTTATACTCTTACTATCGATTATATCGAGAAGATATTTGGAATTTGTAATTTTTTCCCAAGAATTTTCAAATTTCATTTTCTGAATCTAGGACATGTCGTTCTTCTGGCGATGGACCTGGACGACGATTTGGTTCCGTCTGACCATGTACCGCTACTGTGCCATGTGGCTGATGATGGTAAAACTGTCGAAATTCGAAAAATTTATAATAAAAACATTTTCCAAGGAAGGTGCGGCCATTTTGAGTGGAATCGGGTACAACGGAAAGGACAAGGCTGGAAATGATAGGTACATTCTGGAGTTTCTTTCTGAGAAAGTTTTTTTGAAAGGTTCAAAATTGCTTTTTTTGAGAAAAAAACATCTTTCAAACTATATCAAGTCATGAAAATAAATATTTGGATCGAAAGCGGTACAAAATTTGCAATATAAATCGATTTTTTTAGGGTAAAAAAATAAACGCAAATAAGGCTTTTGGGGGAAAAAAATAGTAACTTTTTCTTTTTTAATATCTTAATCTTCTGTATTTCTCTTGGATCATTTTCATTTTCCTACAAATTCACAATATATATTTTTTTTTCTCACTCCCTTTTTTTCACAAAACGTCTCTGGAATGATTTGGAATATTCTTTGATTTACTGGACCTTCAAGTGATCGTTTTCTAATTAATTAATAACCATATAACTTGTGATAATTTTAGATGGGACGGAGTCCGAGATATCCACATTTTGGTTTGGGAAACGGGACATGACTACACTTCTGTCGTTTCTTCCTTCAACTGCGGAACCAACACTTTTGCCAAAAAGTTTGTTTTTTTTTCCGTTTCTTCTAGGTGAGGTTTCATGGTGGGAAAGTTGGACAAAAATTGAGTTTTTTTTTGTTGAATATTCGAATTCTTACTAGTATTTTTTTTAACCGGAAAATGTGAAAATTTAACTATCCCTTACTTTGGCGGAGGAGGTCTTTCTAAGGTTCTGAACGTAGAAAGAAGAATTCCCACTAGAGTGACAACTTACGGCTTTCTAGGGATCTTTTGAGAAGGGCTACTGATATTTATTTTTTTGAACTATTTTTTTATTGTAATTTGTCAAGTTTCATGTTTTAGATAAGTTTAGAAAAATCTTAAAAAGCAACGATTTTTTTCTGGGCCCTGTTTGTTCAGAAAATACTTGAAAAATTTGACTTTTTTTGTAAATTCAAAAAAAGGACGAAAAATATTTCAAAAAAATGACTCTAGTCATTTTTCTGTGTTGCTTACGCCGTGTTCAAAGTAACTTCCGCGAAATTCAAAATTTTCCCTGACTCTCCAAAAATTAGTTATCTTCTCCACTCTCTGACGGTTTTTTTGAATTTCTCGGAGTCACTTTGAACACGAAATTAGTGTTTCAAGCATTCGTTTTCCGGTTCCGAGAAAGTTTGTTATAGTTAAGTTGAAAAAAAACCACCTGATTGAATTCATTTTTGAGGAAAAAGAACCTATTTTTCACGATTTTATGAAAAAAAAAGCCGAATGATCTGTAGGAATAACTGCTCTTACAAAAATGGGGGTGTAAGTATGTACCCCGCAGTGAACCCCGAAAAAAGTGAGCTTTTCGTTGATGTTTGCGCTGAACCCCGCGTTGGACCTGAATGGGGTGAACCCCTGGGGCAACCGGTCAGAAATGAAAAGTTCTTTTTGAGCTACCGAAACGACCTAGGATGAAACGGTAGAAAATGGTGATATGGGGAAACAAACCACTTCGAAATCGTGTACGGAAAAAGTACCTTAATGGGCATTTAAAGCTAAACGGGGTGCACCCCTGGTTACACTGCGGGGTGAAACGAGAGTTGGACGCGGGGTGCACCGCAACTTTTGTTAGAGTGGTACAACTAAAAAAAAAACCCGAATCTCTTACAGTCACATCTTCCGCCGTTTGCGCTGGATGGGAAACAAATTGGCGTCCCATTTGGTCACCCTGATGTACTTGGCCGTCTGGCACGGATACCATCTCGGCTATTTCCTGCTCTTCCTCATCGAACTCGCCTGCGTCGTTTCCCAGGAACAGGTTCAAATTGCCTCTCCCTCGAAACCGCGAAATTCTATAGTCCTCTTTTTTCAGGTTTTTTGAGCCAGAAATAAACTAAAAATACATTAAAAAGGCCTTTCTAACCAGGTTATGTGACTCAAACATTAGAAAAACTCATATTAACTGTTTTTTTAAATCGCTTTTTTTATGATGTTTGGAGTTTTTCAAGTTTCAAAAATTGATTAGTTCCAACTAAATCAACTGAATTCAGTGTTAACTTATGACGTGAAGTCTGAAAAATGGCGACAAAAAAACTATTTCGAATATCGTGAAGTTTCTCTAACTTTTGGTTATTGTTCCGTCTTTCATCGTATAGAGAATTTTTGAGGCTTTTTGAAAGTTTGTATTCATTGAGAACGTGAAACAGGGATCTCATTTTTTTCTTCATATTTTTTTGAAAAATTAATTTAAGATTGATTGAAATTTGATGACCATCAAAGTCTGAAATGCCTTATTAGTTCATTTTTTTATAGTTCTTCATGGAAAGGGTTCTTTAGAGAGGTGAAAAAATCAAGAAAAGATTAGCAATACGAAAATTGAAAAGAAGTGCTTTGAAGTTGTGACGACTGTTATTTGTAACACCCTGGTGGAATTTCGGCTCGTAAAAACAGCTCAGAAAGTTTCAGAAAGATTAAGCTCCATACGAAAAAATGTTTCGCAGCTTTTTCTAGCGCTACTGTACTTCATTTTCTGTCTAGGAAGCTTCCAAACGCATTTTTCTATAAAATATCTAAAATTTAAGCTTTATCACTTGATCGCGCGAACTCCGGGATGGTCGGAGACGTTGGCGAAGCCTTGGGCGCGGCCTTTCGCTTGGCTTTTCGGCAAATTGACCATTTCCTACTCGATGGGATTCGCGTTCCTCATGTTTGGCCTCATCAAGAGCAAGTACTGGATCGCGGTTCGTTATTTCTCCTTTCCCACGTGAACTTTTCCCTTTTTCTTCAGCCCGTCAAGTCGCTCTACTTTATTGGCTTCATCATTTACTTTGTCGCCTGGCCGATTACTTACCAGGTCCTTCTCAGGGTCTTACCGAGAAAGCCAAAGGTTTTTTTGATAACTTTTAACCTAAAAAAATTAAAAAAATTCAGGAAAAAAATCTACTGAAGCAAAAGCCGGTGCACGAAGAGAAGAAGGAGTTGTAACTATGCCAAAAATTCCCTTTTTATTTTTTATCTTGTTCAAATTCTATTTCAGAAAAATATTGCATTTCCCAGATAAATTTTTTTATCCATAAACGAAGATAATGTACAGAAAATGGAAACCCGTTCTTTGGGTTCTTTGGTTAGTGATTTTGAAAAAGTGTATTTTCTAGCGAACTGGTTAGTTTTTACTTTAAGTTCAAAAAGTGAAACGGTAAGTTGAATTAATTTCCGCCCATAACGGCGACACGAAGTTTTGGGAGACTGGCGATGTCTGTGGAAGGGAGGGCGTAGGAGCGGGAAGTCGAAGAGTCCAATTTCTTAAATTGCGTCATTTCAAAAATAGAATCTTCTCTATATTCGATTTGCCAATAAAAATTTGGGTGGGCCGCAATGGGAATGGCTCAAAGCGGCCGCGAGGCGCCCAAAAATTCAATTCCAAAGCAATTACGGCGATTTCAAAACTGTCGCGTTATTTTATTTTAAATATTTCTCTGAATACAAAATTTGAATTACGGATGCCGTTAGAAAAGTAAATCCTACAAAGATATTTGGCGATACGGCGACTTACGCACGAATTCAAATTTTAGTTAATAAATGTCTAAATGGTACTGGAGTTTTTCGCGTAGGAGCTATACCGTTTTAGGACCTAAATTTCCAAACGTTTTTAGTTTTGTGTATTTCGCGTTGAAAGAATAACGCGCCGATTTTGAAATCACCGAAATTACTTCAATCACGGCAAGTGACCGCAACGCATTGAGCCATTCCATTTGAAATCGAAGGGCTTGAAATTTAGTCGCGAATTAAACATACCACCGCTCGCATATAGACAAACATCAGCTACACCATTTATTTTCAAATATTTTGTGCTTGAAACGGCGATATTTAGTTCGAATTTTTTTGATATAGCCGATGTACCACGACTTGGAATTTCACCAAACGACATTCCGCTGTGCAGCTGCGCGCCTTTGCGAACCTCGGTCGCGCTTTTAACTTTTTTTTCTTCTTTTATTAAGGTTCTCTACTTTCCTGTGCTCCCACAGCAACAACAATCAATTGAAAGCGTGACCTAGATTCGAAAGACGCTTCGCGAGCGCACGCAGCGGAACATCGGAATGTCGTTCCGTGAAATTTCAAGTCGTGGCACACAGACCAAAATGAAAGTTTTTTTTTCTAAACTGGTAGGGCTTCTTCTAGACTTTTCGTTTTTTTTCGATTCAAACAAAAGGTGACTAGCTCATAGACACGAAAATACCCCTGAGAAGTCGAGAGAGCACAGACAGGCCAGAGATTTTCATTTGTTCGCTTTTCGAAACGTTTTGGCCTCTTATTAACGAAAATAACACAATAAGTTCGTTTAAATCCACATTCTGAAACAGAAAAGCCCGTTTTTAAAACTAAAAATGATTTGTAAAAGAAGAGAGAGTCCGAAAAAGCTAGATATATGCTCTGATTTTGTAAATCTAATTAAAATGGCATCTAGCCAGACTTAGGAACGTCAGAGTGGCCCCTAGAGGGGTAATCTTAAAGCCTCTGGAGAGCACTTTAACTAACCCCAGGGAGCCCTGAAACTTGCAAAAGTGGTCATTATAGGGGTGTATACTGGGCGTTTTCTGTTATGAACCTATAATAAGAAACATGAATTTGAATGAAAATTTGATGACCCCTGAAGGGACCACTCAAGGTTTAGTGGTTAGACCCGAAATCCCTATAAGGACCATTTGAATTTTAGCCCACGAGGGACCACTTTTCCCTTTCTAGAGACCGTTTTTCTCCTAATCCCTATAGGGATCCCTCTGGTGTTCCCTGCTCACTTTCCAGCCAGTAGAGACCTTTTTTTTTACTTTTTACAGGCGGTTTTTTTCTAATCCCTATAAAGATCACTCTGGCGTTCCTTGCTCATTTTCAGCCTAATGAAGAGCATTTTTTTCCCGTTTTAGAAAAAAGTTTTAGGCTTTTAGGGGCTGTTTTCCTTTAAGGACCACTCTGGCCTTCCTAAGAGTTTTTCTAAAAAAAAACAAATACGGCACTATTCTAGGCCAACCCACCCATTGACGTCTTCTGGAGACGCATTCGCACCGTTTGGCGTTCAGATGGGCGTCGGAAGCGCACTTCAGACGGCACTCACATTTGCAGCTCTGCTCGTTCCAAACTTGGTTGCCTTAAAGTTGGTTGAACTCAAGATAGCGAAGAGGAAGCGTTAGGTACAACCTTGGCGTTAGAAAGTTCTCAAAACTCGGCAAATTAATTTATTAGATAAGGCTTTCAAAAGGATCAGGGTTTATTTCTTTCGAGTCGACGTTGCTTTTGACTCTGGTGCTGCTCCCGGAGCCACTGGTCGACCTGGCTGATGACGTCGGTTTTCTGATCATTCTGCTGGGTCTTCTCCTTTTCTTGATCCTTTTTCTGATCGTGATAATCACTCAGACGCTTTTGAGCTTCTTGAAGACTTTCCCGGCGATGCTCTTGGAGAAACTCTTGACCTTGCCGAGCCTGGAGAAGTTCATCTTCGACCTGACGTTTCCGACGAGTCAGGACATTTTTCTGATAAGCCGCAGCATGTCGAGAATTCTGAGGTTCTTGGAGAGCTTGCTGTTTTTTCTCCTTCTCTTGGCTTCTTTTCAGATCGTGATAATCCTTCAGACGCTTCTGAGCTTCTTGAAGACTTTCCTGTCGGTCTTGCTGACTTCTCTGGGGTTGATAATGAGAAACTTCCTCATCTTGATAAGCCTGTCGCTTTTGACGAACCCCGCCGTGATGCTCTTCTTGGAAATCTTCCTGGCGATCTTGTTGGTCTTGCTGACTTCTCTGGTGATGCTCCTTGGCATGGCTTTGGTGACTTCTTTGATGATGCTTCTGACCTTCTCGGTGACTGTGTTGGTGATGATCTTCAGCGTCTCTATGATTCTGATGCTCCTGTCGGTCTTGCTCACTTTTCTGGATATGATCTACAGCATGTCCTTGACGGTGATGCTCCTGATGCCTTTGCCGACTTCTTTGATGATCTTCATGATGATGATCTCCAGCTTCTTCATGACTCTGATCCTGCAGAATGTGCCGACCTCCCTGATGATTTTCGGGATGTCTTCGACGGTTCTGATGCTTCTGACCTTCTCGGTGACTTTCCTGGTGTTGATCTTCAGTTTGACCATGATTCTGAGGTCGACTAAGAGTATCATGTCTTCTGGCAGGATTCTGATGCTCCTGGTGATTTTGCTCACTTCCGTGATGATGACCATGTTTCTGATGTTCCAGACGTTCTTCATGCCCATGTCTCTGTCGATGAAGACGATGATGTCGATGACGATGTTTCAGACGTCGTGCTTGGCCGTTGAGTGGCACCTCGACGACGTCGCCCTCTTCTTCTTCTTCGTCGTCGTCTCGACAAACACCCACTAACTACACGAACAAGTCCACGCCATACCTATGCACAAATTCCTGTCGTCCTTGTTGGCGCACTCGCATTTGCAGCTTCTTCCGACGACGAAGCCCGGTTTACACGTTGGCATCTGGAGAAAATCTTTTTTTTGAGCATTATTAATAGTCTGTTCAGATTTCAAATGTCCTCGCTCAAGCTCCGCCCCCCATGGCGCGATAAACCAATCAGAGAGCGAGCCATCCACAGAGCGTTTTCGAATGACGTCATTCTTTTTGACATTCAGAATCTGAACGGATTATCACTACTTGAAGGGTCAAGCGCTGCGTACGCGTCGCGGTTTTTGGCGGGAACTCGGTTCAAAACGGAGTCGTGGAAAAATAGAAAAAACAAATGTTTTCTTTTTTTCATTCATACAACTGATATTTTAAAACCATGAATAATCAAAATAATTGAAAAACTATCAAAAGAAGAAAATTTCGTTAAAAAAGGTGTCCCTGGAGTCTCCCGCAAAAAGCCCGCAACTTGTTAAGTTTCCAAATTACCTTTCAAGCCGGCAAATTTTTCACGATTTTATCAAAATGTTTACAAACTGATCGTAAAAAAATCTTTTTTTCAGAGTTGTTTAAAGCCTTAAAAATTCCTCAAAAATTGATTAAAAAGACCAAAAATTTCCTCGAAGAGTAATTATAAGGCCAACAATTTCTTTAAAAAAAGTATTAGAATCTTTTTTTCAAAAACTCAATAAAAAAATTTGTTATAATACATCGACCTTTTTTTCAAATATTCATTATAAACCTAAAAATTATTTGAAAAAAATTGATTAGAAGACCAAAACTATTTCAGAAATCGGTTTAAGCCTAAAACTTCTCCTCAATAATTTTCTAAAAAAATATAAAAAAAGCTTTTTTTCGAAACTCCATGAAAAATTATCTATGAGACCAACATTTTTTCTAAAAAAGGTAGATCATACTAAAATTTCTCAAAAATAGATCAAATAATCAAAATGTTTCGGAAAATCACATTGGCGCCACAATCGAAGCAAGAGCAGGAAGTGTGCTCCTCCATGGTGATGTTCCGCGTCGTGTTGACCATGAATCGGTCGTTTCCGATGTAGACCATCTCGACGATCTGAAACGTTTCGGAATCCTAAATATCTATAAAAAGTTCTTATTTATGTTATTTCTTTCTTATGAGCATCTTTGAAGCCGACTTAAAGCAAGCTTAAAAGAAAGAGCTCAATGAGAAACACCAAAAATTTCGACGTTTGAGGGTCCATAACTTTTTTCACAGACCTCCGCGGCAAATTTTGAGGCCAGATTTGGAATCAGCGTGAAAAAATACGTAAATTTGGTCTCATTCAGAAGTCCCACTGGGACCAGAGAGCATTCCCTGGTTAAAAAAGGGGGCCTGTCTGCGCTCTCCACCAACCAGGCACTGTTTCTTTCTTTGAAAATCTTTTCAGGGCCCTTTTTCGATGGCTCAAGTCAGCCGTGAATCAACTAATACCGTATACCTTCAGATGACAGGTCTTAAAGCGAAAATCTTTTTTCTCGAATAAAACACCGTAGAACAGGTGAAACGTAAAGATTTACCGGTCTGTTGACAATATTGACGGTGTGCGGATGACACGTCTCGATCTTGTCGCAGCAACTTCCGACGCATTGATTCACCTGCAATTAACCTGTAATTATTCGGAAAATGGAACGAATTCCAGGAATTTGGTCAAAAACATCATTGAGGCTCATTTTTCGATCTTATCGACGGTTTAAAAAGTATGTCAAAATTTAAAATTGTACTTTTTTAAAGATTATACCTATAAATGACAGCCGGAGCAGCATATTTTGAGATATTGAAACCCTAGAGCGGTCAAGAATTGATTACCCTACAGTGACCCCTTTTTCAAGCTTTAGTGCCCCTAAAGCGAATGTA